AATGAAATTGAAATTATTGTTCGACGATGTGAAAACAGTCAAATATGTATAACTACCTGCAGGGTGTTTTACTTTAAAACTGTATAGGTTTGGTCAGACAATCGTTAATGGATTACCCTGTATATTTATAAATAATTGTTAAATATGGTCATACAACTTTTATATTAATGTTTTTCGTATTTCCTATTATAAAACTGCTATCGATCAATTACGCACTCATGGGACACCCTGTATATGTGTTATTGATATCGTTGGATATGTTAATTTATAAGGAATTGAATGCTTAAATAATATACAGGATGTGGCATTTGAAAAAAATTAAATAAATTTAACTTGGAATTAGCCATATTTAAGACTTGTTTTTCAAAACACACTGTAAAAAATAATCCAGTTCTATTACCACTATTCGTTAGCTTACTATCTTATTACTACATTAAAAAAAAAATGAAATTATTTTAAACCTACCTAAATAATGATAATTTAATTTGGGGTCTGAATCATTCTCTAATTTCATAAAAAAATTAATTTATTGGCAACCCTGCAATATTTGTTAATAAAATTCTAGGGTTAAATACAGCATTCAAAAACTGAAGTAAAATACAGGGTTTTCTTTTTAAAAAATATACCGTTTTATTTGTCAGACAAAAACGCAAAACCCTGTATGTCTAAAAATATCTTTAAAATACCTATTTTTGAAATTCATATAACTTTTATTTAGAAATTGTTTACGTGTTTAGAACACAAATTAAAATATTGAACAATTACGCACTAATGGGACAACCCGAATATATTATTCACAATATATGCACGCGACATATGTTTGTAATAATTTAATCTCGCGCCGTGTTTATATATTTTATTCATGCGTCTATTAGATATTGTAGTTTACCTAGACCCAACCACAACATTTGCTTCGGCAGTCAACGTGTTTTAAATGCTTTTTTATTAATTTGTTGTTTAATTTGTATTTAGTTATTAATATTTCAAAAATGCTTATTTTTCTTATTGATTAATCTAAAATACGTAATTTTTATTTATAATTGAAAATAGTACTGTAATTCTAAATTGACAAAAAAAGTAGAAATATGAAAACATAAATTACGACTCTACAAATGAAGTAAAATTTTATTATTAATTTCTTTTTTCTTACAAAAACATTATCTCAGCAATATGTCATAAGTTGCATACACACAGAAGGTCTATGTAAGTTGATAACAAATGGAAAACTTTTTTTATTATTTATTTTACGAAAAAAAGTTATTCTTCATAAAAATGTATGCATGGTCTAACAGAAAATGCAAGCACCCGATAGCAAATTTTATCAGTCGGTTTTACAAGGTTTGTCAAAAAATATAATTTTGCTCTCAAGATAAAATACCTTTATTTTCGACAAACCCTGTATACGACTGATAAAATTTGATATCAGATAATTGAAATTTAGGTTTTAGACCATGCATAACTTTTTATGTAAAGTAACTTTTTTTCTAAAATTAATAGACCATGCAATTGTTTATGAAAAAAAAGTTTTTTTTTTTTAATTCTTAAAAAGGTTTTCCGTATGCCAACTTACATATAAATGAGATTAAATTTTTTGAAAATAATTTTTACTGCTGCAGATCTAAATAAAGTATTGTTGGTAAATAAGGTACATTTTCTTTTTTTATTTGGTTCTTTGGCTGTAAGACCTTTCGGTATATACATGGTATTCCATTAAGAATGGGAGCAACTGAAGATTAATTGATTAGAAATAAGCCGATTAAACGAAACATCCGTAGGTAAAACATTACTTATTTCCGAAAAACAGAGTTTTAAAGTTGAAAATCAAAAATTATAAATAGCTACAATTTTTTTATTACTCAGTTTAATTTTACTAAATTCGGCAAACGTTATTGGTGTAATAAAATACATCTATCAGCAAAAAATAAGTTAAATAAGCTTTGCCAGTGGCGTACGTCATGGGCCAGTAACATCTTTTTTCCTTCTAAATTTTAGTCCACTGTCCACTTTTGATGTTTTTTAAATAAAGTTGAGTTAGTTTTTGAGATATTCGCACATATTAGAAAATCCTGAAGTTTTTAAATTTCGATTTTTTTTTAATTAAATTTCCAAGAGTACATTATTTATTTTAAAAACATCAAAAAATTTAAAATTTTATGTCCAAATAACATTTTGGATAGTGACGTAAAATTTAAGAGGTATGCGGTATTACGTACGAATGCTGTACGCCATTGGAAAAGTTAATTAAGGTAACTTATTTTTTTGCTGATAGGTGGATAATTTGACACCAAAAACGTTTGCCAAATTTAGTAAAATTGTTGTGAGTAATAAAAAAAATAAAGCCATAAATATTTTTTGGATTTTAACACCTTAACTCGGTACCGAGAAACATTTTATCTAAGCATGATTTGTTTAGTTGTCTTATTTTTAATTAGAGAATCGTCAGTTGTTCTATGTCCCATTCTTAAGGAAACACTATGTATAGTAGGTATAAGTGGTCCCTACTTATGATACGAAGACTGTTGTCCTTTGTTAACTGGACACAAGAATGAACTACTAAATAAATATACCGACGTGCCGAATCAAATGCAAAAGTTTTATTTTTATACCTGTTTCATCGAAAATATTTGTCAAGGTCAAGAACTCGTTTAGTTATTATCGCGTAGTAGCTAGGGGTGATGAATTTGTTAGGTATTTTATAACAGTAACCGTTTAGAACTAATAAAATTATTACGCCATCTGTTGAACAAAAGAACTATTAAATATGGAATATTGCTCCATCTTTCGAACAAAAGGATTCTTAATTTATGACACATAAATGACATCTATCAAAATTAGTTCATGTTACGAATATTGGGGGTGGTACTGTGGTCTTAAACCAGTGGAATTGAAATACCAGGAGCGGTAATAATTCCACAAAAAGTAACAAGTGTTCCTCTCTCTGTCTTTTTCTGATATGACCTTTGGTGCTTGAATGACTGTTGAAACACCGTTTCCCGAATCCCCCCTATTTGTAATTCTTGTTTTACATGAAAATGAAGCGTCGACTTGTTTAAGTTGAACATTGCCGCTGCATTTGGAATTTTTCTGTTATTTCTTATTACTTCATCAACATTATTACGCAAGTCTTCAACGGCAATGTTTGCCCTCTCTGTTTTACGTTTTTATTACGATAAAAAAATAAAACAATTAGTGAAAATGTTGGGCACATTTGGACAGATTTGTAAATTTCTTTATTATATTTATATTAATAGAATAATTTCAATATATTATAGTTTGGATTAGGATAAAAAATAGGTTTATATGATTTGTAAGTTTAACTATAAATATTCAATTCTTTTAGAAACATGGGGCACTTTTGGACACTCGGGTACATTTAGACTAGTCCAAATCTGTCCTACCTAACTGGTCCAAATGTGTCCCACATGCGAAAAATTTAAAAATCTGTTGATATAAATTCTAACCACTTTAAAGAGGGTTACTGTTTTAGGTTATGTTAAGTACCAAAGCATGATTTCTGAGTACAACAAAGAATATTGTGTTATGTAGCAATAGAACAATTGTTACAACCTTATGAACAGTAAGTGAGTATACTTACATCAGTGTTTAAAAAAGTTTCCCGATAATTTTCATCACTTAAAACTTATAATTTTATAAATGTGCCCCATGTACAAATCTGCCCCGCCCTACCCTACTTTAGATCATATCTGATTTCGATCTTTTGTAATTTCGATCACATACGATTTCGATCATTTGTTCTACTTTAGATCTTTTGTCACTTTCGACCTTTTGATTTTCGGCCATTTTTCCGTTAACCAATTATTTCATTCAAATGGACCACCCTCTATATTATCGGATTATCTACTAGAGTTTCTTTGTTGTCAATTAAATACCAATTTCTATATTATTATAAAACTTTTTATGAGTTCTATTTTCTGACACTCTGTATATACCATTAAGTAATTTAAATATGCATTTGGAAAATTACCTGTTACATTTAGAGCAATTAAATTAATTATGCATGAAAAAGGAATATTAAAATTAAGTTCACACCCTTAAGGGAATTTTGCTATTACTTTGATGATTACTTTTATATTGTAAAATTTTCAAAGTGATAAAATGTTTCTCTGGGTACGTTACAAAAAAAAATACTTGTCTACTTCCGTTTTCACAAAGCATTTTTTTATAGTTACCTACGTCTAACACTTTAAACATGTCAACGTAAATTTAGAAAAAAAGTAGGGTTGGATAAGGGTTGGATGATGTCGTAATTTCTTAATCACACTATGTATCGTTACTGTGATTACTAAAATTCAAATAAATGAGGTTATATTTCCGTAAATCAAAAGATTCAATATTTATTACTTTTGTGGAAAATATTTATGAAAAACATGTAAAGAATATCAGTTTACCAAGATTAAAATATTATGTAACAGTTCCTGAAGTATCGTCCAACTCTAATAGGGATTATTTAAAATTTAGCTGTATGTAACTTACATATACTTACGTTTAAAGATCGTTTGATTTCCAGTACAGTACAATGGTTGAAATAATTTCTTAAATACGTTTCTTATTTTTCTACGATCACTATCCAAAGTAGACTTTTGCGCTTCGAAATACAACCGCAAAGTTGACGTTTTCCGCGAACTGACGCTCGCCGAGCGGAAAACTTGACAGCTTTGTTGCTCGCCTAATTTAAATTAGATATAATATATAGGCAACACATTATATACTACTTACGACAAATTTTCAATATTTATATCTATTTCTTAAAATAATGTGATCGTAGAAAAAATCGTGTGTGTATTTTGAGCAAAAAGTTCGTTGCCGCTTTCGACAGATTGCCGCGCTACGCTACGCGTCGCACGGCCAACTTTCTGTCTCAAGCAGCAAAGTATTACTTTTCGCTCTTAATACACAAATAGCTATTATATCAATATTCAGTTAGTTTACATTTATTTTTAACTTTTATTTTTAATATTTTTCTTCTATATATTTTTTAGTTAAAACAATTTCGAAGATCAGAATCTGAAGACAGCGATGACATTACAACCAAAAGTCGTTCATCAACTGACGTCTGCTTTCTTCTTACTTTTCTATTGTTTTTGACAGCTTTGGTAAGTTTATCAAAATTTATTTTGAACATTTCACACCTATTTTAACCAATAATATGCCTGTTTTCTCTGCTGTGGCACCTTGGAAAAAATTATCATGGACATTTTTGGAGATATATATTATCTTTGATTAACAATAATTAATGGATAAAATTGGTTTAAAATCCAATGTTTATTTAATTTGTAAAATTTTCACAAAAGTGATCAAATACCTACCGTACATTTGACATTTCAAAAAATATTACTTTTACTATAGTTAATTTGAAAATAAATGATAGCAAAAATTTTGTGACCATCATAATCAACCATCATAAAATAGCTACCGAGAATTTCTAAAATAAAATGTTTAGCATTATTTGTTTCAAAATAATTTTTTTTTCTTCTTAAATTTTTTAAAAATACCAATCTATTTAAATTCTTGTTTTAAATTTTTTATTCAGTTTAATCAACAAAAATAAGGTTAGTATGTAATCTCTACAGGTAGAAAATATTTACAATTCAAGATCAATTTAAGTAGCCCTCAAATTTCTTAGAAAAGATTAAAATTTCTAGTCGGCAGAAAGTATTAAGCAGATTGTAAATTATTGTAGTTAAGATTTACATTTCTGCTTGTGATTGTAACAGGCAGAATTGTTAGTTCGGTAATAATAAGCAATAAAAAATAATATTGATCAAGTGTATTTGTGCAATAAAAATGGCACAAACGTTATACTCCTGTGAAATTAAAGTGCAATTTTCCCGTGCATATGAAAACTTTAGGGTTAAATGTACATGATGCTTTTGTACATGAACATTTCAATAGTACTGTTCGGAGTACAGTTTCTAAGTGTTCAAATATGACCAGAGTTGGAGAAGCAACCATTTATAGACTTTTGAAGCAACGAAAGGATTACAGTAGCACCTAAAACGTCAACTGGGAGAAAACCCATTCAAATAGACGGTACTATCAAATAACTGATCCGAAGAAAAGTGCATTTCTTTTATTTACAAAAAAGATACCTACTTTGGAAAAATTTTTAGTAGACATTAATGGAGACGAAACTTTGCCAAACGTTAAAAAAGACAAATTGTGGAAAACTTTATATGAATTACTTGAATTAGATTTCGTTTGGGAGAATGATGAAAAATCTGCGCTCATAGGAAAAGATTAAATTATTTGTTGGAGGAGGCAATACTTAAGGGAAATTAGAAAATTAAGAAGAGAAGACAAAAATATTTTTTATTTGGATGAAACATGTATAAAAAAAGGCCATTTTGTAAACAAAAGTTTGGCAAGATAAACAGGTTACAAATGCTCGTCAGGCATTTCTAGAAAGTTTGTCTACTGCCTTAAAATTTCCAAATGGTAAAGGTCGCCGTTTAATTATCACTCATATTGGAGGAGATAAAGAATTTGTTGATAGAGGCTTATTAGAATTTGTTTCAAATTCAACGAAAGAGTACTATGAAGAAATGACTACTGATGTTTTTGAGGAACATTTCAGTCAAATTATAGATTTATTACCGCCAATTCTGTAATAGTTATGGACACTAAACGGAAAAAGCAAGAAATCTCCAATTGGCTAAAAACCAAAAAATAGTGGCAGAAGAGGGATTACTCAAAAAAGAGCTATTGCCGTTATGCAAACAACATTTATCAACATTTAAGAAGTATAGTGTAAAAAAATAGCAAAAGAACATGGAGTTAAAGTGTTGCGGTTACCACCTTATCACTGTGAACTAAACCTCATTGAACTAATCTGGTCTCAAATGAAGGGATAGGTCGCGAGAAACAATAAAACATTTAAACTTTGAGATGTTCGTCAACTATTATGTGACTCCATATCAAAAATTTCACCAGACAATTGGCAAAACGCTATAAACATGTCATAGCAGAGGCAAAGAAATTCTGGAAACTTGATATCTTATTATTATTATTAAACAATAGAACCAATTATTATTTCTGTGGGAAGTGAGGAAACTGATGATGACTCCTTATTGGGAGAAAACGACTTATTTATTTAGGTGTAACTCTATATTTATATACAAACAAATTTATATGGAATGACCCCGTATTTCTAAAAACGAAATATGAGTGTTTTATGGTAAAATATTTTTTTCTACACCCACATGGATATTATCTACGCACAGATTACAAAACGAAAAAGTATGCTATTGCCTTCATCTGAACGAATATATTTCATATTCTCTCTAGGTAGAGATAACACTGCAAAAAAATGAAATCCACCAATCACCGTTCATATTTTGATCAACCGATCGCTATTATTTTTAAAGTTTTAAATAAGTGACATTTCTGTCAAACTAATTATCAGTATATTTTTTAGTTATTGAAATTAAACATACATTAAAATGTTTTATTCTTCTGTAGAATCGATAAATAATAGCATTTCTGTTTATATTTCGTCTATAATTATAAATAATTTATTAATTAAAAAAAAACTATATAAAGTCAATTTAATTACGAGTATTAAAGCAACAAAAATAAAAGAATAGGTGGTCCTGTGGATCGATTCTCGGATGGGGAAAAATGAAATAAATAAACTTTTTTCTTTTTTTTCGTTTATAATATTTTAAAAATTATTAGAAGTCATAAATTATTTTAAAATTAGTTATTTTGTCTTAATAACCTAAAATATTTTTTTATTTGTAAATTTTCGTCAGTGGGTCATAGATAGGGTTGCCAGGTCTGAATTTGCATTTGACGGGATTTAGGCATTAGAAAAGCGAGACAAAACAAGAAAAAGCGGGACACTTAATAAAAAAAAACAAACTTGTTTTTATTTTCTATTAGTGTATTGCATAAAACCCATAAAAAAAATAAAACATCACAATCTTAGATAGGAACGCAAAAAACAAGTACAGGTACAGCAAAACTTAAATAATCAATATTCACAACTTTAAGTATTATTTTTTACTTGTAAAACTCATGTAAAAAATAAATAAAACCGAAGACAAAACAGACAAAACAAACACTTTCCAGCACATAATATAACTATAAAATAATTTCTATTCGATAAATAAAGTTGGTTAATATTCTTACTTTTTAACATAGAGGTATTTATCCCAGATTAAATGTGGAATTAAATGAAAATTAATTTATCCTAACGATTTTAAAATTCAAATTTTACAACTCTCGATAATGTCAAAATTCAAAATTATAGACGTTTACTTTTATGTTCGATTGTTGTACAACTACCTCCTTTTTCGTTGCTAGAATATGACCTACCTACTACACCCATTATATATTATTATTATTATTATTATTATTATCATTATCATCATTCCTGATAAGTAAAAGTCGCTAGATAATAACCAGATAATAGCAAGAAAACGCTAGGTTTGAGACACGTCTCAAATTCAAATTCGAAATCGCTAGATCTAGCTACAAAATCGCTAAATTGGCAACCCTTCGTACTCATGTAAAAGACCGAAAAACGTTATAATATGAATCATCTGCGACCGCGCGGCCAAGCTGGAGCGGAGATAATAGTAAATTGCCCCGATTTTTTGTCGGGCGTCGACTATTATGAAATAATGAGATGGATGGGTATTTATTTATTTCTTCAAATCACGTTTCGCGGTGCATTTTATTCATGTTCATTAAAAAGCGGGACAATATGCGTCCCGCGTAGACTATCGGCGGGACGCGGGACTAAGATTGCTGAAAACGCGATAAGCGGGACGCCTGTCAACCCTACATAGAAAAATATACTGTACAACTCGAGTGGATTGTTCACATCGCACTCAGAAGTCTTCGTGCGATATGGCCATCATATGATGTATTGTATTCGATATTTTTTGGGATGGTCATACTAAAAGCTAGTGAATATTCAGATAAGAAGGTATCAATATTTACTTTTTTCTGCTTTGAACAATCCTTTATATAGACATTTGCCATAAAAACTGTGCTATCATGCATTTTCAAATAAACTATAGCAATATCTATGAGTCAAATTAAATCAGGAAATTTTTTGGGCTTAGGAATTTTCATCAAATATTAATAAGCGAGAAAAAATGTCTAGGCACAAAGGTCTATTATTAAAAATACAAGTACTCGCATATTAGAAATACATGCAAAAAGAAAACAATAATTTTAACTTTATTTAACACATTAACTGCCACTATCAGGTAAAAAATTGAGTCCTCTAGGGACTTCAGTGGTTGCAAAATAAACATGTCACAAATTCCGACAAAATTGCATCTATATCTGTAACGTGTGGAGGCTGGGTTACCCCACGGCACTTAGGCCTCACCAGACCCATTGTGCATCCCCTTAAGATGATAGACACATCTTAGCTCGTGAGCCAGCCTACAGTTTAATATATTTGACAACATCGCCAACAGGAGCTTCTCTTATATCTTCTGGTGTTAGCCGATACTCGAACACAAATCTTCAAATAAATGAGAGCATCGGGCAATTATAGAGAATATGCTCGATGGTATCATCTTCTTCTTCGTACCTCTTGCACAATGCGGATTCTGACAATCCCAAGATACGGAGATGCTTTCTTACTTGGCAATGACCAGTCAGAATGCCTGTGATCAAAAGTAGATTCTGTCTAGTCATAGCCAAGTATTTATTTACTGTAGTGTTGTCAGAATAACGTAAAAGCTCCCTGGCAACTCTACAGTTTCTTGTTTCATCCAATAGCTTTTTGACTTTCTCAAGGGAACGTTCTTTAGTAAGATGTCTTTCTCTCTCTCTCACTATTGCTTACAGTCCATTTTATGTTTAATTTTAAGGATCTGGAGTTTATTCCACATCCTGCTTCTTATTTTGTTTTATAACCGTCGGTGTAGATATAAATCGCACCTGCGACTTTCGGCTCTTCTTTTGGTCCTGCCAAAAGCGACGTCTCGCCTCACTAGATCCTACTTCAGGTTCTAATCCAACCATGCTAAGGCGTCTCATTGACATCTCCTTGATGTAAATATCAAGGATAGTGAGACTAGGAATGACTTCCATGGCTCTGGTTGGTGTGGTTTTCATGGCTCCTGTTATGTTGAGAAATGCTGTTATTTGTTGATTTGGGTGTAGTGGTGTTGTTATAATTACCACTTCCCTTGTGTACCTACGCATGGCCTTTTCAATGTTTTCATGGAAAACGATGTCAGACCAATTGGTCGGTATGTTTTTGGGACAGTTTAATCCATCCTTCCAGGTTTGGGTATAAAGACCACTTTTACCTTTTTCTGTTTTTTTGGAGATATACCTCAGAGCCAACGAGGATCTGAATTGCATATTATATAATCTCTGTAAAAATATAAATAACAAATTGAAATTGTTTCAGTTTCTGTACTTTAATTAATATATTTTAGATATGTTTTCTGGGATATTGTATGTTTAACGGAAATATATTTAGAGTTATAAACGGTTATGACAACTGCGGCAATATTTGCGGAAAAGCAAACAAAATTTTTGATAAAAAGGACGTAAATGCAGAATGTTTTGGCCAAAGCAGAATAAATGAGCCGTAAGTAAATTATTGTATTATTATTGTACATTTTGGCCTACAAATTACTTATATATTTTAGGTACCACGTCGTTCTTCGGCAAAATAGAACCAAAGAAGTCCTTAGGCTGTGTATTTCAGATTGTAATTTATATGAAGGATAGTAAGTTTTTTAATTTAATTTACATACCTAAATACAGGGTGATTTTTGTAGCAGTACTACTAAAATTATTAAAACATTTCAGGCACTTGGCCAATATCACAACATTAAAAATTATTAATTCAGGTCAAAAAAAAATACAAATTCATCAATAACTGACATTTTTAGCCTAAATATGAATATTAGGACAAAATAACAAATAATATAAAAATTATGTTCATATTGACCACTAAACAATGCAATTTTTTTATTGTGATGTCTTATGCTATATGCTATCACACTTTCTTATTTAATTTTTAATGAGGTAAAATATCTTAATTTAGGTATATTTGTTAGCTGCAGCTTTAATTAATAGTACTCTGTTATGGTTATATAAGTGATGCTAATCAAAACTGTGCAATATAAATGATTTTTAACACTGAAGACAATACTGAAATGAGGTGGATAATTTAAAGTAACTGCTCCTTTTTAGTATTTGCTCACATCGAAGACAAACGTCTAACACATCCATAGAGGGATAGGTACACAACTTTTAGCCCTTTCGTGTATGTAGCCAGCCAGCAGTGCCGGAAAATATTTGAATGCCAGGGACGGCTTATGTTTGTAAGACGTAAAACAAAAGTATGAAAGTTATAAATAGACATGGCATATGGGATTTTATTTAATTAAAAATAGTGTGGGTAGATAAACTAATAAATTGGTTTTCTCTTGTACTAGAGGGCTGTAGCCCTTATAGCCAAGCCGTCAATGTAATATACCCTAACAGGACAATTTAGTGAGTGGTACAATCAGGTGAAAGACATCTGACATGATAATAATAATACGATAAATAAATTGTTTTCGTCTGACCATCCTGTATATTGTTGTAGATGCAGTTACTTTTCTTAATGGAGGTAACGCGTATAAATAAATAACATTTCATGCTGACAAAAATAGCCAAAGTTGACATTTTAAAAGTGCAATATTCCACATAATGCCGTGAACTGTTTATAATGGAATATTTTCATTAGCATCACGGAAACTATACTTTTTAATTAAATAAAAAAATACTTTTTAAAATCAATATTGAGTCATAAAAAATGAAGAAACTTGAGGGATTCATGCAAGAAAAACACACTCACCATAGTTTTTTTTTTCTCTCCTGGGCTCGTCTGACTATGTGTCTCCGAATAACACTGAAGCCTATTGGCTTATTGTGTTTTACCCCATGTTAGTTCATAGCACCCACTCACTCACCATAGTTAGTTATAACTAGACTTAGGAAAATATGCACTTAAAAAAAGTCGAGTTTATGCGCATAAATATGCATGGTTCGAGTCCAAAATATGCAGAAAAAACTTAATATATACAAAAAGTGCGTATTCAAAATTATTAGGTAGATACAGCACATACTACTTAATACTTTCATACAATAAACCAAATTAATTAAAAAATTTATTAAAACTACATAATAAAACAATAAATCTCTAAATGTTTTTCAAAATTTGTAGCCTAAAATTTCTATCTAAATGCATAAATTTATAAATTGAAAAGCTTTTTTCCACATCCACCGACGTAACAGGTGCTCTTTTTACTTTCCTATCTGTATACAGATATAAGGAAAGTATAGGAATCATGAATTTTTTCGACCTCGAGTTTTCGACGGATTTTTACGTTTTGAGGTCCGTTTTGACTATTTTCGCGATGATGTCTGTGTGTGTGTGTGTGTGTGTGTGTGTGGGTGCGTGCGTGCGTGCGTGCGTGCGTGCGTGTGTGTGTGTGTGTGTGTGTGTGTGTGTGTGTGTGTGTGTGTGTGTGTGTGTGTGTGTGTGTGTGTGTGTGTGTGTGTGTGTGTGTGTGTGTGTGTGTGTGTGTGTGTGTGTGTGTGTGTGTGTGTGTGTGTGTGTGTGTGTGTGTGTGTGTGTGTGTGTGTGTGTGTGTGTGTGTCTGTGTGTCTGTGTGTGTGTGTGTGTGTGTGTGTGTGTGTATGTCTGTATGCCTGTATGTCTGTATGTCTGTATGTCTGTATGTCTGTATGTCTGTATGTCTGTATGTATGTATGTCTGTATGTCTGTATGTCTGTATGTCTGTATGTCTGTATGTCTGTATGTCTGTATGTCTGTATGTCTGTATGTCTGTATGTCTGTATGTCTGTATGTCTGTATGTCTGTATGTCTGTATGTCTGTATGTCTGTATGTCTGTATGTCTGTATGTCTGTATGTCTGTATGTCTGTATGTCTGTATGTCTGTATGTCTGTATGTCTGTATGTCTGTATGTCTGTATGTCTGTATGTCTGTATGTCTGTATGTCTGTATGTCTGTATGTCTGTATGTCTGTATGTCTGTATGTCTGTATGTCTGTATGTCGCATAACTCATAAACCGATACACAGAAAAACACCAAATTTTAAACTTAAGCTTTATTCCAGCGTCTAATGAGCTGATTAGATTTTGGGCAGAGTCGGAACATCTGGGGGGTACTTTATAGGTGGTTATTTTTGTTTGGAGAAGAAAATTGTTCAAATAAAAGTTACTTCTAATATTATTATCTATAATTTTTGCTTTATGTCAAAATTTCCTGAAATGGTCCGTATTCGAGAAATTTGACAAATTGTGCAAAATTTTGATTTTTATGAATTGTTGAACTAAAAGTTGTTTGCGATATCGATCTCTATAATTTTTGTTTATACATGATTTTTCTAAAATGGACCGTAATGGATAAGTGCTAAATTTAAACTTTTCAGTATTTTCTTTCAATGAATATAGAAAAATATTTCGAGGTAGATGTATGTGGACAATGTATATATTTAGTTTATCCTCTAAACATTTATAGAGATGCTGCAATAGGTTGTGCAAAATAACCGGAAAAAGCCTATAATAACTAGATAGGAAAGTAATGTGTTGGACACATTAGATTTTTAAATATATCTGGGTCCATATTAAAATTTTTGGAAAGTTTTTTTTTAATCCTATATTTCGGTTCCAATTTTGCCCACAACGGTTTTTCAAGACAAAGTGAATGAATTTATTAAGTTAACACTTAACATAAAGTGGTATTTATTTGTTATAGTTTCGGGTACAAAACTGTAATTTGCTTTCAGAAAACAAATTTGTTGTTGAATGAGCCTATTTTTTACTATTTCTTGCATTGCGTCAAGGGCTTGAGAGGCGTCGTTGGATAGTTCAAGAATTAAACTTTTTAACTCAGCAAAATGATCGGCATAGAAAAATAAAGCCTCATACCAAGTTCCCCAATTCGTCACAACTGGTCGAGGAGGAAGAATTAGGCAACCTCTCTTTATACAATTCCTACAATTGTATTCTTAATGGTGTTTAACAAATACTTTTGTTATATTGGATTCCAAATCGTTGACAAGAGGAATTTTTTTCTGATTTCCTCGGCAACCCTAAAAAACAGTTAATACCATGGGCTTACGCAGACATGTCACATGAATTAAGTTAGGGTAAAAATCTGTAAATTTTTCCCTGCCTTAATCATATAGGGTGCAGCATCCGATAAGAAAATCTTCTCGTGTGGTACAGCGTCAGGTAGGAAAAATGCTGATAAATCGTCTTAAAAGAAACATGTTATTGTCAATATATTGGTTTTATCTAACTGTTTCGACCCTATTAAGTGAGACTACTGCGTACGTAGTTTAAAATGACATTTTTACATTATCAATGTCATTTTAATCAACGTTTAACACAACGGTGGAATCGGCCCTAAGTAAGCGTTCGAAAAATCGAAGTTTTGGACACCGAGTTAACTATCGGTAACCCAACAAAATAATAATAATAATAATAATAATAATAATAATAATAATAATAATAATAATAATAATAATAATAATAATACTCTCCCTAATTCACCCCCTTACGAGTGAATTTCAACCCCTGAAGTCGACTGAACGACTTGTGTAGGGGAAGGGATGGCTATTATTATTATTTGCCGTGGCGCTCCGGGGCGACTTAAAGATGATTGATGGTGCCATTTGACTTACAGGACAGGAAAACCCGGAAAACCTCACCCACCATCATCGAGACGGTAATGTATGGCGAATTTTTTTTTTTTTAATCTGCATGTCATATCAATTTCTATTAATACGCCACACATCAAATCCTAAACCGAACCATGCAATTTAATTAAAAATCCACATGGTCTGGTCTGGGATTCGAAACCCAGCAGTCTCAGACTCATAAACTTGCCTATAAATGAATATAAGCGCGATTGACCGCTACACCACCGTCCCAATAAAATAGCAAGGTAGATTTTACTCGTCTTGCGCAGTGAGATATTATGTGATATAATTTCAAAAAGAGAACACGGAACAAGAACACCGATCGCAAAATTCAGGAATTGTGGCCGGTTAGTGTTACAGTGTGCCAGAAGCAGTGAGTTTTTTATCCTTCCTCCAGGTTCTTTTGTGTTTTGATAATTTTGTGAAATTAAATGTATTATTGAATTAATAAATAATGCATCAACCTACAACAAAAGAGCATTTATTGTTCGAAATAAATGGACAAATTGTTATACTAAATGAACCTGATAAAGACTTAATTTATAGATTAAAACACGGTGAGTAAAAAAGTACACAGGTTTTATTCAAGGAGACTTCTTGGTTTTACCTAATTAATTATGTGATAGTGTGTGGTCCAAAGCGCACTGAAGCTCTTATTGTACCTTCTCCAATTAGGTTAATTACTTTAATGTAGAAAAATCCTGAAACCATGCCATAATATTTAAAAATCCAAATATTTTGTCATTTGTCTGACATCTAATAAATGACAAACGTTGATCTAAAAAACTCAAAACCGTTAGATTAATATTTAACCCGGTTTAACTCTAGCCAATTTTGTCAGAGAGTAAACTCTAACTACGAGAGTCATTTATCGAACACAACCCTGAAACGCAATTTTTATGCACAATATGACAAATAAAAAAAAATGCAAATAAATCTTTATTTTTATAAAATATGCAAAATATACAAAGTGCACATTTGCCTAAGTTTAGTTATAACACTAAATACACATAGTGGAAGACAAGTCTAATATCCTCAAAACCAGGTTCTCAGAAATGTACAAAATTTGCAATTTGCATTTGAAGAACATGCCCATATCCGAGAATACCGATCAAGGAGAAGCGACAGCTTGGTGTTTTCAGTGTACCGTTTTGTAACGCGCATGTGCGAAACTAAGTTGTGTATCACTCAAAATTATGTTATCTGTCAAAGTCAGTCCAAGTTGTGTTTAGTACGTGAGCAATGTTAAGTGATATTTTTTGGTGTTTGTTTTGTGTAGTAATAAGATGAAGATTTTTACACACTTAGGTATTCTAATACAGATATAAAATGTGCCAAAAAAGTTATTAGGAAACTAAGAATTTTATCACATGCATAAATATTAACTATAATCATTTACATAACATTAATTTTTAAAAAATATGGTAAGAACAGTTTTTGTGATATCTGGAAATAAATGCATTACTTGTGTACATGAGAGGCTTTAAGAGTGTTAATTATGCACATTTTGATTGTTAATATATTGTTTCACAGACGGTCAAAAAATTTAATTTTTTTTATTTACATAAAAGACACTTTCATTAACCTTATATTTCAATTTTATTAAATTCTTAAGAAAAGCCGTTTTACGAGTGAACTACCTTAATATATTATAAATCTAGAAATTCTAAAAATAAGTACTTTTTAAACCTAAAAGCTTTGAAAATATAAGCACATTGCAAATATTTAGTTAAACCTCTCAAACTTAATGTCTTTTTAATTGTTACCTAATTTTTTTTGGCACCCTTAATTTTATTTACCTTATTTTTACTTAAGGAAAAGGTAATTTAATTTAAATATGGGGCTTTTATTAAATTTTTAACAATAAATAAACCAAATATTGAACAAATTTTATAGATAAATTATAAAATAATAAACGTCTTTTACTTTTATAACAAATAATTAATTATTACATAATGAATTATATTTTGGTGCCGAAATTTCACCATTGCTATTAACCCTAACTACTTCAATGTAATTAAATCACATTGCAACATTTGCGCATGGACTATAACAATAATTTCAGATAATTTGCCAAACTATTTCGCTCAGTGTAGAAAATAAGTATGTTTTCTCAGCGTGCTAAGTTGTGTATCAATCAAAGTCATGCTGTGAAAAAGGTACATCCGATATCAAAGGCACCGACAGCTACTGTCGCTTCTCCTTGATCGGTATTCTCGGCCCATATATTTTTCTCGTCAGCTATGAAGAAGCTGTGAAGATTTTAAAATTTGTATGGCTGTGATTATTGCGGTTTCGTTATCACCAACTCATTCACTGTGTGATTAGCGATAATTCTTTACCACCTTGTCGATTTCTATGATTATTTTTTTTGTTAGTTAGGGCGTACCTCAGGGGTGATTCCATATAAATTTCGGTTTTTAAAATTACTTTTAATACTTGTTATAAATGTTGTTTCCATAATTTGACATGCCCAGTCAGGGGCGGATCCAGAACCTTATCAAGGGGTAGGGAGTTTAGTTTGCTAAGTTCATAGCGTAGACTGATTTTTTTTATTTTGTCACGGCTTCAGTTAGAAGGGTTATTAGCTTCTAGCTTCAAGACAGCTTTTCATTACTCCGTTATGGCACAAATTTTTTACTTTTAAAAAGTCCGTTACATTTTGGTCTTTCATTGTTTGTTGTTTTTTTGGGTTTTTTTTTTTTGGGGTTTTTTGGTTTTTGGGGTTTTCTGTTTGATTTTTTTACTTTTTGTTTTTCTTGTTTGTTTTTGTGTTGTCTTTTTGTTTTTTTTTTTGTTTATTTTTGTTTATTTTTTGTTCTTTTTTGTTTCTTTTTGTGTTTATTTATTACCAGGTAGGTATATCATTTCTAATAAATATAGATTTTTCATTAAGTTTACGATAATTTAAGACACTTTTAATTAATTATACTAATTAGATAGCTTTGGAACACCTAAATACACAATATAAGGGAAGGGAAGATTTTTGAAAAATACAAATAATTTTTCTGTTAAGCTGAGAACTTTTAACATCGTCCTCGTATATACGAATTTTACAAAACAAACGAATTGATTATAATAAATTTGTTTTTGTTATAATTCACCTTTCAGAAAACGAAATATTATAATATTGAATCAATTTAGATTAATGTGAAATTTATTGATAACCTTAACATTAATTTTTTATTACTTTAAGACATTTATTCCCGCATGAAATAGAATCATTAGGACCTAGACTTATGAATCAATCCACCCTTTTATTATTTGTATTATCGGTATTGGTATAGGGTTCATGAACTTTTTCTATATTAGAATAAATTAGTTCCGGGTTTCATTATTGCCAAATCGTGTTAAAGCTTTGTTTAATTTTCTTTACAGCAGAAAGTTCTTCAATAGGTGTATACCGAACAAAACCCAAGCTGTGGTAAATACGATATTTTCCAGGACTGGGCTCAAAAATTTTTTCACGGTAAGGTTCTTAATTGAATATATGTGTATACTTCTATGTAAGTTTCTGGTAATCTAAATGTAAGGTTTTAAATATTTAAGTTAAAGTTAAGTTGAAATTATTCTAAAGAATAGAGGTGCATGAGTTAAAACCACTTGTTATTGGAGAAACACAAAATAATTGATTGAAAAATGTTAGTATGAGATTAAAGTTTGTTATGGGTTGTTGGTTAAAAATAATGTTAAAAAAGGTTCTTTATAATGTTTGCAAAAGAAAAAGTCTTCACTAAAGCAATTTTTGTTAGATATATTTATTTATTGTTGTATTATGATCGTTACTAGTTTTAAAGCACCCGGTATATTAGTCACAGTGACTAATGAGTTTGGTAATTTTTTGAATAACATTTTTATTTAAAATAATCTGCTAAATCAACAAAATTAACAATTTTATGTTCAAAATTAAAAGTAAACATCTGTAACATTCAATAGCAAGTGACGTCTATGAACTCCACTTTCAACATAATGTACTTAACCCCTCTATTATTTATATTACTATCCATTTGACACATTTTCAGTTCTACTTTTTCCTTTTTTTTGACGTTTGAATAAAATATAATTATTTGAATTGTTTTACTTACAGGAAGTGTCTGAAGATTTTCAAATATGCTGGAGCGAAATCTGTTACCTTTGCCTCATAGCTCTAGGTAAGAACAGTGCATACGGGGATAAATTTATAGAAAACAACCAAACTATAGCACAATATATTATTAATTTTTCTATTTGCACTTTATGCCTCTTACTTACACAGCTCTATCTGTCATATTGTCACATTTAACGTCACAAATCTAATAAAAGAATACATTACTCGATAATACTGTCGATGTTTCCCTTGTGACGATGGTAGTCGATTCTTACGTCCCATCAAGTCATTGTTTACACTTTTTACTGAAAAACAAATATAAAAGGCGATAAAAATAATAAACTTTATCTTTTCAGTATTTTCCTCCATATTGCTAGTACTATTCAGGTACCTAGTGGGTTTCGTGGTCTGGATCATCTTACTTGGCTCAGTAACCGCCAGCATAGTCGGAACTGCACTTTTATGGTGTGTAAACAGACTATACGGGCCACAATATGGAGCTTTGTGGTATCCTTTTTTCTATTTTTTCAGGGTTATGTGGAAGAATTCCAAAAATAGTAACGAAAACACTCCGTCCTATCTCATACCCGACGTGGATTCCGAAAAAACTGATACGTATTTGGTCTTTGCTATACTGGCAACCATCGCAACTGTTGTGATATGTTTAATTATTTTTGTGATGAGAAGTAGAATCAAGTTGGTGGTGCAATTATTTGAGGAATCTGGAAAGGCTATTACGGCCATGCCTATTTTACTGTTTGAACCTATTTTGGTAAGTAGTTTGTTTATATTTTTCAGTTATTTTGATCATTTCAATACTCTACTAGAAAAATTGTATAATTTCTATTTACTTTCAGACTTTTTTATTTTTGGGAATAACCGTTTCACTGTGGTTCTATTTCTGTTTGTGGATAGAAAGTTCTGGAAGCCTAACAGAAACTAAACCGAACATTTACCAATATAAAAAAGACGGTTGGATGAAATTCACTAGGTGGTACAATTTTTTTGCCATGTTATGGATGACGCAGTTTGCAATCGGATGTCAACATATGATTATTGCTGGTGCAGTTGCTATTTGGTATTTTAAAAGGTCTGCTGTCATTATTATTATGTAGGTACAATGTGACCGATTTACGGTGGAAGCATCTCTGTAGAACTAGTATTTGACAGACGATTGGAACCATTATTTTTTATGGATAATAGAGGTTCTACTATCTGACAATTCTTTAATTATTAAGCTGAATTTTCAAAGCATGCTTTGATTATTTTTCACTGTCGAAAATAGCAAAATAATAAAAATCTAAATACATCACTGGATATGCATAGTTTTAAAATGATTTGAAAGTGAATTTCATTCAAATATCTTACATAATAAAAAAGTTTTTTTATATAAGTAAAAAAAAAACTTTCAACACCACTGGATTCTTTTTAAATGATGCCAAATAATGTTTTGGCCCTTCCCTTTACGATCTCAAAAACTTCTAAATTTTATAAAATAAGAGTTCTACAGTACAGGGGTGCTTCTAGCGTCCATCTTAAATGGGTCACATTGTATATATAGAAGTAAACAAAATTGAGTTATTGTCGCCCATAATTTATTAAATAGTACAGGCAACTTGTTTTACGCAAATGTAATACTGGTTGCCGCATAATAGACTATTCTTTATTTTTTTACAAAATCTTGTCAGTACCAGTAGCGTACTCACTGTTTTTTAAAGGAATGTTCCTTTTTTAGGAATAAGTCCTCACTAGGCACTCCAGTACTACAAAGTGCCGAAAATTTAGTTAGATACCATTTGGGATCAGTTGCTTTAGGATCATTTCTGATAGCGACGGTACAATTTGCGAGGGTTCTTTTAAAAATCACCGAAAAATATCTAAAAAAGAAGGATGGAAAATGCATTGATTGTATGTTGAAGTGTTGCCAGTGCTGCCTTTATTGTTTCGAGAAAATTCTCAAATATATAACCAGGAATGCCTATATTGAAGTTGGTACGTTTAAAGAAATGTCAATAATCCTATTTACAAATTATAAACCAATTTTTAGCTATTTACGGATATCCTTTTTGTAAAGCTGGACAGCAAGCGTTCAAACTGCTTTCCTCAAATGTATTAAGGGTTGCTGCGATCAATTCAGTAGGCGATTTTGTACTGTTTTTGGGTAAAGTAGTTGTTGTGATTGCTACGGTTCTCATTGGCATCAAAATGCTGCAGGTAAATATAATAAAAAAAAAATCTAAAATTACTTTTTCAATAGTTATAATACAAACTTTTATCAACTATTGTTGAGATATATTTAATTATTTGATAAGTAATAATTTTCCTATCAGATCCTTATCTGATAACACGATGAAATCTCAAACATTAAACGTATCTACAAGAGAGCTGTCATTTTAATTTTATGAATTATAAAAATAATTGAAATTATATAGTATATTACATTACGAGTGTGAAAAACCATTTTTACACAAGTGATGTACAATATTTTTCCTACGACCACAAAATAATTTATTCAAAGAAAATATATAAACAGGAAACCTGGCTACAAATGTTTAATTAAAATGTGGCTGGTTTTTTTTTATATGCTTCCTTGAATAATTTTTAAAGTGTTTTACTCGTACCTATTGTGTTTTGTCGAAATCAAAAATGTGATTTCATTTACAAGTACTTTCATAGGATAATAATGGTAAAATAACATTAGGTATACAAAAATATTAGAATACAATAATGTTTTTTTCTACACCCGTATTATAATAATGCACTTATATGCTCCAAATCCGTTTCATAATGATACCCATTATGATACAGATTTTTCATTACGATACAGATTTTTAATCAATAGAAACCTACAATTTTTCAATCAAGCATGTTCTTTGACGTTTGTCCTAGGTTCCTATGTAATTGTCTTAGTTGTCAAAACGTATTAAATTTTCGTAGATAGCTAAACTTCGATAATTATATTATCAACATGTCTGATATCAGCGATATAGAAGACTCCTCCACACATATCGGAGAAAGGAGAAAATGCAGTACACAATAATTTGCCCAAAAAATCTATGGTAATACCAATACCCAAGGTAATACCATTAATTACAATTTTGTAGAATTTTTTATAGAAATACACGAGTAATTATTGTTATTGTGTTCAATACCAATATGAATATAATATTTATAGTTCTTGATTATTTATCGGGTGTAGAAAAAATAGCGTATGCAACTCTCATGTAATGGTTATTAATACACTCGCATAAACCATACGAAACTCGCCTTTGGCTCGTTTCGTATCCCGGTTAATGCTCGTGTATTAATAACCATCATTACATGATCGTTGCATAATATACTATTCATTAATTCACTTTTTCAAATACAACAAATAACAAGATGAACAACCGTAAACAAGAACATTTTTATTATGATTACCTACTTAAACACTTGAAATTTTTTTCTGAACATTAATCAAAATAATATAAAAAAATCTGATGTGTCCAACACATGACTTTCCTATCTAGTTATTACAGGCTTTTTTCGGTTATTTTGTACAACCTATTGTAGCACCTCGGCAAATATTTAGAGGTTAATCTAATATATACATTTTCCACATACATCTAACTCGAAACATTTTTCTATATAGGTACACTTATCGCCAACGAAAATGCTGAAAAATTTAAATGTTATACTTTTCCTCCAATTTTTCCAATACCGTCCATTTTAGAGCAATCATGTAAAAAACAAAAATTATAGAGATCGATATCGCAAACATCTTTTAGTTCAACAATTTTCTTCAAAATCAGAATTTTTTTACATTTTCAAAAGTTTCTCGAATACGGACCATTTTAGGAAAATTTTGTATAGAAAAAAAAAATAGAGAATAAATAATATTAGAACTAACTTTTATTCAAAAAAATTTTTTCTCCAAACATATATAACAGATATATTTCATAAAATATAAAAATAGCCCCCTATAAAGTACCCCCCAGATGTTCCGACTCTGCCCAAAATCTAATCAGTTCACCTCAGGTCGGAATAAAGCGAAAGTTTGAAATTTAAGGTTTTTTCTTTATCCGTTTATGAGTTTTAAAAAATTTTACATTTACACATTTTCACAAATATCTCGAATACGGTCCACTTTATAGAAATTATGTATAGGACAAAAATTACAGAGAATTATATCACAAACAAGTTTTATTTGAACAATTTTATTAAAAAAAAGTTTTCCCAATTATTATGTAACGGAAAAGAAAACTTGTATTTTTTAGTTATTTTTTATATTGTAGATATTTGAAATAATAGAAAGTGGCAGCTAAAGTAGAGAACCATTTTAAAAGAAAATAGTAACTTTAAGCTCTAGTAATATTATTTCTCATTTTTATGAAAAAGATCGTACTTTTTGTAATTATCTATCACAATTTATTGGAATTTTAAATCATATTTACATAAAAAACAATAAAGGTATTTAGTTTTCTAAGAAAACCTTCATTTATCTATATACTTAGGCATTTAGAAACAAATTGGTCTTAAAATGCTACTATTTATTATTCGCACTCATAAGCAACTAATAGATTAATTACAAATGGTTAGGTACTAGTAGACAGTGGCAGTTTCCTTGCATAAAACTCCAACACCATGTGTATATCAATTCGTGGAAGATTAGTCATTTTCAACACAAAAGATTCCAGGAAAATAGAAATATTAACAAACTTTTAGGTTATAGTTGTAGATTTACACTGACACATACACACAGAAAAATTTGTATTAAGGGTATTTAAATTAAAAATCGGATGTGTCCAACACATGACTTTCCTGTGGAGGTGGTTGATTTTAATTCTACCCCGTTCTGTCGCATAGGAGTTTCCCCTTCTGCACGAAACCAAGTTCAGAAAAGAAATGTCAATTGTAAAATGTCTCTCGACTTTCGACACATAATATTTTATTGCAAGGAAAGAGATGGAGCGATGGAGCAATAGAGGTGTTTGAAAAATAACGTTACAATGTATGGGACAAAAATTATGGAGAATAACAAGCAACTTTTATTTTACAATTTTCTTAAAAATTGAATTTTTTTACATTTTGTAAAATATCTTGAATACGGACCATTTAAGGAAAATATGCACGCACGCATATTATTGAGAAAAAAGTACGCCACTGATTTTTTGTAGTTTTCTATTTTTTTTCAGATCAAGCAACTAAAAATGCAACTTTTTGATCTTTGTTTTTTTCATATCAAGCTTCGTTTTCGAAAAAGAAAGGGGCCACTCTATTGCATATCACGAACATGGAAAAAAAAGATTTTTTATTATTTTATTAATATCAAAAAATCATCTCGCCTTAAACTTGGTACTTATTTTTTTACTCGTTTTATTTCGAACTAGTAATTAGATTTAACTTAATCATTTGAGGGACGTCTTGGAAGGCAACTGAGTTAAAATCTTTAACACCACTGGTTTCAATAGGTTTACTATTATATTTCAGATTTCGAAAACAATTATCATATTTTTTGCATATTACATCTGCTTTTTATAACAAATTATTGCCAAGCTAATCAAGTACCTACTCACCTACTTTGGAGACCAGTTCATAGTGATAGTATTGACATAACACTAAAATTCAGAGTTAACAATTAGCATTTATTGCATCATGAATAACTTTATTTATTCTGAGATGACTGACATGCACTTTATTTATGGATTAGCAAATGGAAAGGCGGAAATAGTATGGACAATGTACCAGGACAGTAATTACATGTGCTAAAACATTTAGAACGCTACATGCAAGATTAAGTGAAACTGGGAGTTTCAATAAAAATACAGGTGGTGAAAGACCAGAAACTGTAACAACTCCTGAACTAGAAGAAGCTATACTTCATGCGATAGATATAATAGTACCAGGAAGATTGCACTGTAGCTTGAAGTCAGCCCAAAAACAGTTTTTTAAAGTTCTAAAACGAAATTTTCTGTACCCATATCACATACATTGGGTCCAAGCTCTACTATTTTCACCCAAGATTAATGTTTTGCAGGTGGTTGATTCATACGTTGGCACACAATTAAAATTTTTTACCAATGGTCTTATTTTCGGACGAGGCAAATTTTCTCAAAGACTACAAAATCCCAACGTTATTAGAGAAAGATATTTTCATCAACTTTCCCTGAACGTTTGAGTAAGATTTATTGATAACTACCTAAATGGCCCGTTTTTTCACCAGCAAGATTGACAAGTGATTGACTTGATGAACTTTTTGCGAGAACATTTACACATTTTTAACCGACTTCAAAAAAGGAGGTAGTTCTCAATTCGTCGTAATATATTTTTTTATGTATGTTCAGCGATAATTCTTTAACACGGTGTCCAAATAAATTTGGTCAAAATCTAATAATTGGGTCCATGAGAAAATCCTCAAACTCTTCATTTATTATGTATGTTTAGCGATAATGCTTTACCACCTTGTCTGATTTATATGATTCTTTTTTTGTTAGTAAGGGGGTACCTCAGGGGTGGTCCCATATAAATTTGGTTAAGATGTGGCGATGGCATCTACACGATTTTGAAGTCGGTTTTTTTTAATTTTTAATTTCTAATACTTGTGTAAGAGCCAACATGTCGGTTATACACGACGAGGCTCCAGCTCATTTTAGTGTTCTTGCCCTCTAGCATCTCGACATCACCTACCCTAATTGCTGGATTGACCTAAAAATTGGCCAGCTCGCAGTCCGGATATGAATCCTCTAAATTTTTATTTATGCGGTTATCTGAAAGCTCTTGTTTATAAAACTACTGTACTAAATAAGAATGACTTATTTGAGGAATCGGATAATTGACAAATACAATGTCATAAGGAATATTCCAGTATTTTTGAACGTGTCAGTCAGACAATCAATGACAAATCGATTGCAGTCGTGTATTTTGCTCATTTAATTTTAGGTGGAAATTGTATATTTTTTATGTTTGTTTTTTATTTTAATGTTGTCCGTGGATAGTTTTTAATTTTAATTTTCGAAACCATGCTAGATATGAAAAAACACAACATACTAAAAATATGTATTTTTAGTTGCTTAATCTAAAACAATACAAAAACTATAAAAAGAGTCTCGATCATATTATCTGTGGTGCCACTGAGACGCCACTGGACCCGATAATTTAAATCTAGTTAGGGTTGAATAAGTGCTTTATTACTTCAAATAACTGTACCAAATCTAAACCAAATCGATTAAGGGATATTTATGATATTTTTAAAATTCCTATTTTTTAAATTTTAACACCCTGTATCTCAGAAACGAAGCAACTCCGGACCATATGTCATAGGAACTTTTTTTCATAAATCGACCTAAGGAATCACCCTCTGAAGTTTCGTACCGTATTTAGGAAACACCCTGTACATCAAAAATCTAAATATTATAGGTATCTATAAATCAACCAACGAGATATAAAACTGATTTACTTCTATCAAAGTTAATTGCTGCAAACGCAAAACATAATATAGGTACCGCAACATAAATTAAATTGTGTTTATCTTTCCATTAGGTGTGTATAAATGAGTTGATACCAATTAATTTGTCTAATTTTAGTACAAGGATGGTCTTCAACATATGTGGGTACCCGTTACTTTGGCAGGATTGTTTGCATATTTTGTGGCCCATTGCTTCATGACTGTATACGAGGTAAGTCGTATTTAATTGCTTATTTGCATATAAATATGTTGTAGGTACTCAGAGCTGGGAGTAACGAAACAAAAACGTTACTTTTTAGTAACGCGTTACTTAAAGTAACGCGTTACTAGTAATTTCGTTAATTTTTTAAATCATCGAAAAGTAACGGTAATGGCGTTACTTTTTCAAAGTAACGTACAATCGATACTTCGTTACAGTAACGCGTTACTTTAAAAGTAAGGCGTTACTTCTTATACAGAAATTTAGAGATTAAATCTCCGTCTGATATGTTAAAGGAGACAGACATTGAATATCTTGAAGAATATTGTGACATACTCAAACCAGTCGCTCAATCTATAGATATTTTACAAGGAGAATCTAACATTTATTATGCTCAGGGGTGATACTTGCTGATACTTGCTGCCTACTCTTATATCCTTATGTCTGAAACTTAAATATTTAAAAACCAAAAAGTCCTTGAAATATATGTTACCAATATTAGATGAATGTATAAAATCTATTCATTCCCGATTTTCAGACTTCCTAGAATTCTCGGATAAGGCATATAATGCAGTAATTGCTACTGCAACAAACCCTATTTTTAAACTAAAATGGCTTAAATCAGTTGGTGAATTGGCTAAAGAAAACACAGTTGATATTAAACAGAATATTGTAAATGAAGCTAACGCGCTATTGGAAATTAATCAATCGACAGTATTACCTATAATAAAAGAGAATATAAAGATATATACAGACATTAACTTTTTTGAATTTCTAGACGAGGAAGACAACTGTGTCACGGAAAAGGACAGACTCATAAAATTACAAGTTCTACAATTTTTACAGAATCCCGATATTAATTTGTCTATGTTAAAAAAGTATCCGTACGTACAAAATGTTTTTATAAAATTTAATACTCCATTACTCTATTTTCGTATGCCACCTTTGTAAATGCGCCTAGAAGACATGCTTTATCTGATGAACATTTTGAAAATCCAATTCTTTTGAAATGTAATAATAAAAATAATTAATATTTAATTATGACGATGAGGGTTGAGATACTGAAAGGGTAATAATAGGTTATCAAATAAAATTAAAAATGTTATATTTTAAATGTACCTAATTTCTTTAGTGTTTGTACTTTAGTATTTAGCATTATAATTTTAACCAGTTTTATTACATTTATTATTTATTGTAGTTAGATTTTTATTTATTTTTAAAGTTGTCTAGAGTGTTACCATTATGTTTTGCTTTCTAATATTTGACATTTAAAAAACAGCCGGTGGCAAAAACGATGATTAATATTTAATAGCCTGGTCACATTAAAATTTGACAGAGGTTTTGACTGGGTAATTTCATGATGTAAGTAGGTAAATACTAAATGTATGGTTTATCCCGTAGGTTAACGTTGCAACTTATAACCTAATTACTGCTAGAATAAGACTGTTTATTTTTCAAGTGTTGAGACATTTACGCCCATATGCACCGTTTTAAAATTTAATCCAGATTTGCATATCTCGTTTAAACGACTAGTGGTTATTTTCTATGTACCGGCTAAGGATTAGAAAATCGAGTTTAGTAATCTGACAAAACTGGGTTTTTATAAATTTCACAAAAAAAGAGAAGAAGAAAACTTCAGATTTGAGTAGGAGAAATGTATGTCAAAGGATAAGAGACCGTTTAAAGATAGAAGGCCTATTTTTTAAATGTACCAAGAACGTATATAAAATTTTACGCAGGGTAAAAAAGAATGTCAAATGAATTTCAAAAATATTACCTAAATAATATACGTATTGCTTACTTATTTTTACCTTTTTCAACATATCTGGATTTGCCATCTAACTACAGAAGTATGTTGTAACGTTAAAATATAAAAAACTTCTTAAACATTACAAAATTGCCCACGGTATAAAAATATTCATTCCTCTCGTAATTTTGCCTAGAATATTTGTCACCTTCCAGGAAAAGCTGGTATTCTATTTCCGTTTTTTAATAAAATTTAAATAAAATAAATACAAGAGACACAAATAGAAAGTTCCAAATACACTGACAAACCGTTGATATCTTTTTGACGTTAGAAAATCTCGTTTAAATAATTTAATCCTCCGATATTGACGGATTATAATAAAATCAGATTAAGAATGATTTTTATTACGGTGCATAGCTAAAAATGGTACTAAACGCGATTAAACCCTTAATCTAGATTAAACGTGTAAGGTGCATACGGGCGTTAGTTAAATAAATCATGAATTACAAATAACAGTATAACTTTCATTATCCCTTTCTTGTTCTATAGTAAAAATGTACACCAAATTTTTATTGATTTACTTCCAAAAGTAACGCTTTTTTAAAGTAACGCGTTACTTTTGCAGTAACGCGTTACTTTTTCAGTCACGCGCTACTTTGTCAGTACCGCGTTACTTTAAAAGTAACGAAGTTACAATAACACGTTACTTTCGGAAAGTAACGAATAATTCGTTACTTTTTAAAAAGTAACGGTAACGATTATATAACGCGTTACTTTACATCAAAAGTAACGATAAAGTAACGCGTTACTTTTTTTTAGTAACGGTCCCAGGTCTCTACATTACAGTTTTCACATCACGTTAATGTCAATAATCTTCAATTAGAGGTTTTTTAGTGTAACAAAACTTTGTAACTTTCTTTCTAAATTTTGTAGAATTCATAAAACAAGTTCAATACCGCAAACTGCATATTCATACTTCAAACTTTTAAACAAAAATAATTAGGTTATCTTAATTAATAACGAAGATAAGAGGAGTGGAACTTTTAAGTGCCCCTGTACATATATTTCAATAGCACCCTTAATACTGACTAATGAATATAAAATGATAAAAAATACACATCTATAAACATGCCATAATCGAAACTTAAAATCTATAATGTATGTAATTTAAAAAAATTCGACCAATGAATTAATTTACCAATAATTTTCATAAAACATTCATGTCAGTACATTTTCACTACCATATATTATTTTACATCGATCGGTTTATCTGTTTATTCTAAGCATGAAGGTCAAAAATAAATATAGAGTGGCTCTTTTTTAATACAACAATAGTATATTATCACCTCGATTATCACTAATTGTATTATTTAAAAAAATAATTAGTCACAGTATTTTAACAAATATATTAATAGATGTAGAAAAATAAAAATCTATATTTCTATGGGGTAGGCAATTCAGACATTATCTTCGCGCCTTTATGAGCACTGAGCCAAAATAACTTGATTTTCATCAATTTATGATAAAAACAGAGTTTTTACCTTTTGAAGCAATTTTTAAAAATCAGTGATCAAATATTAATGTTTTATATCGGGGGCATCCATTAATTACGTGAGGTATTGTTAGTCTAAAGTAACTACCTGTTCCATTCTCTAGTTTTCGGTACAATGAACTTATATATTTTTTCTTTTGCTAGCTTAAGATGAAAAACAGCTAATACGTCTTGTGGACGTATACAGCTGATCTTCGGCTTTTTTCATAATTATAGATACTCATTTAATGTAATTCACAATACAAACTTATATTGAAATTGATCTGTAAAATATGAAAATAAAGACCTCTATTATTATAAATCAGTTCCTGCAGATATTCATACAAGATGGCTTGAATTTTGAAATAAGCTTAAGTATCTCAATAATTTCAACATACCTAGACATGCCAAAATTTACATGCAACTTCATGTATTCTCAGATTTCAGAGAGGCTGCATGTTGCGCATTCATTAGAAGTATCGATGTATGATGTATTAGATAGGTAGGGGAAAGTGTTCCACAATGAGACATAAATTAGGTTTCGGTAGGTTCCCAGAGGTTATGATTGAATTTTGTAATTTTGTTGTTTCATGCACATAGATTGACATATTCCTCGTCATTTAACGCAATAAGTTTATGAATATATCGATTTAGAAAATAAATAGGGATTTTTATTAAATCGTGATTTTTGTCTCATTGTGAAACAAGTATGTTCCACTATGAGATAGAACTTTTAGACCAAAAAACAATACAAAAAATATGAAAAAAAAAAAAAAATATATAATAAGGGAAAATGAACATTCTTTTGAAAAAAACAGTATCCAAAAAACTTATTTTGCTAGATAGGACAACATAAAATATAAATCCAACAAGTAAAAAATAAAATAAAATCCTTCAAAATATTAGCGCACATAATGAGTTGAAGTTCAGTTCAAAACGTATTAGAGTCTGTTGCCTCTTAGTTTTCCCAGTCGTTAAATATTTGGAAAGTATTATTTTGATGTTTTTTCTTCGATCATACTTATATCTTCTGTTGCGGGGTAGAAAAAACAGTTGTTAGACTTGTTACTTTTACGAAGAAATGAAATTTCAAATTCATCTTCTTTTTTATTTAAAAATTTTCTGACATAAAAGATAACAGTTTTTAATTCATCAAATTGAACTAAAATGTAGTCTCCAGCGATTGGTTGTCGCTCCACTGCAAGAAAGTTATCTTTATCCAAGGCATCTTCAATACCACTAGCATCTTCAGAGGAGCCCCTAGTATCTTCCTGATAGGATTCCCTATCAGACTCTTCACTAAAAGATTCTTTAAACACTCCGGTCTTGACGTCATTTAATTTTCCCTGCTTTTTTCTTATTTTTAATTCCGCCTGCCTCACTTTCTCCTTGGATTTTGCTTTTATTTCATTAGGTTTCAATTGTTGTGCCATTGCAATCCTGATTATCAGCCGTAATGTGATGCTCAGATGGACCAGCAATTTCATCAGCTGGCTGGCATCGGTCAGTGACACTGCTAGCAATATAATCGTCGTCCGTGAAAATTTTCTTGTCAAAGGGAAAAATACCTGAGTTGTTAAAACCTGCTGTTATATTTTTGGTGGTCATAGATTTTTCAAACGCAACACCAACACATTCAGCTCTTTCATAAATTGAGATCGGACGGCCTTGATTCCTTAGCATCCACGATTCAACTGCAGCATTATATTGGGATTTGAATGGGAAAAAACCGAAAGATCTAAAGGCTGCAATTTGTGAGAGGTGTGCGGGGCAATGTCAAGATAATAACTCAATTTTTCTTTGCTAGGTCAAGAACATAAGCCGATAAATGGCTTTCATGGTTATCCATAATTAATAGCGTGGGATTGCCTACACTCTCGAGGCATGATTTATAAAGTGATTCATGACTTCTATAAATAAATCCTTTGTCATCCATCCTGATAGTTGTGCAAAGCCTAAGGTACCGGGAGGAGCGTCGTGCAACATGTGCTGTTTAATCTCTAAATCATAACTGGTGGAATAAAGCTTCCAGTTGCGTTCACAGTGCAGCAGGTGGTTACTAATATTACGCGTTCACCGCTAGTTGCTGAGCTAACTTGTTTCCCATCTTTGTTACAACTTTACGTGGTTGTAGATGCGAGTCCCATCTGTAAAATGCGTTGAACGCTGATAGATCGATTCCAAATTGGCAAAAAATTGGCATACATTATGCTTATTAAATGAAGTAGCTCTGGAAAGGCTACAGCCTTCTGGTTGTATTACACTCAATTCAGGGTTCCGTAAAACCTAATAACCATTCCATCCCTGTCCGTTTATTAATTTTCCATTTTTCAGGAATATTAAATTTATTTGCATCGGCTACTTCGAAAGCAAGTATTCGCAAATCTTTCCTAGTTTCCAAGTTATGGCGTATTTCGCAATAAGTTTCTCTTGTTCTGAGGTAAAAATCTGCAGACAGGCATAGTTAGGCTTGTATCTTATTTTTACATTTTCGCCTGCAAGTTTTTGTTTCGTGACGTAGCGATGAAGCGTTTGAAATTTAATGCCTGTCCTTTCAGATGCTTCTCTTAAACTTAATTTTTCCTCAAGAACCATATGCATAGCTGCCTTCATTTGGTCCTCTGTGAAAGAACCTTTTTCCGATTTTCGTTTTCTTCCACTAGCCATAGTTTTGACCCTAACATGGAAATAAAATGAAAAACATTATATACTCACACGTTGAAAAATTTTGTTCCACAATGAGACACCGTCTCCGTCTCATTGTGGAACAAAACCAACTGCCTCATTGTGGAACTTTTTCGATATTATTTTAAGAAGTTTGCAAACATTTTTCGATCGTTTTAAACATCTCTAGTTTATACAGAATCCTAACCTAAAAATGCCCAAACAATTTCTGAATTTTTCAGATTTATCAAAAAACCACCGGATTTTATTTAATCACCAATTGAAATATCGACTATAAAAAAAACTTGACTCAATTTGAGCTATGTAAGTCACTAAATATGTTTAGAACTTTCTAAATTTCGTAAAAATTGGTGGAGCACAACTGACTATGTTGGTCGGCCATATTTTTTAAACTAAATAGGCGGGAAGTTCAAAAAGTTATGGCGAATGTCTCATTGTGGAATACTTTCCCCTACAGTGTATATACAAAAACATACCTTAAAGGTAGTCACCCAAAATTAGAGCTATTATATGTGGTGCTGTCATATAAAGTCCAAAAGTAATGACATTTTTTAGTGGACTGATTTTACAATACTTCTGGATTGGATTAATAATCTACTCAATATGATGGGCTGGCTACTGCTATTGGGAGTGAATCATTATTTCTGGTGTATCATTTTTATACAAATTTGTTTCCAATATTTAAATAACAGTATTGAGTATTTTCCACAGACTATACCTCAGTTCTTACTGTGGCTATTTAGATGCTTTAATATAAATTTATTTATCAATTTCTAGATGGCAATCGACACTATTTTTCTGTGCTTCTGCGAAGATTGTGAACAAAATGACGGCGAAACCAGACCGTATTTCATGTCCAGAGGACTGATGGAGTTCGTGGAAAATTCTAAACGCGCCTTGGACATACACGATTCTAGAAAGTCCACGGCCACTACGGAGGACGCTAAAAATGTTCCCACTATCAGCGGTGACCTAACAAGAAATTTCTCAGGATAGTTCTAATTTTTATATAAGTAGATTTTTTAATGGTTTTATTTTTGATACTATGTAGATATTTACTAGTTATAGGTTGTTAGTAATAAGGTGTGAAAAAAGTCTGTTTTTTAATAGACCGGGTGGGGTAAAAAGGTGGATAATTTACTATTAAATACATCAAATCGCAAGTACAAGCTCAAATACGTTAAAAATTATTTGTTTTCAAATGTTTCTGACCAAAGCATACTACAAAAGTCTCAAGAGTGTGTCAGTTAGCTGGCCAAATATTATTTTCTTTATAGTTGGCGTTGATCATGCATTATCATATACGTAAGTTGGCTACATAATGGATAACTTTTTTATTAATAGTTTTATCAAAAAAATATATTCTTCATAAAAAATTGTGCATGGTCTAAAATTAAAAATACAACCATCATATATAAAATTTTATTTATACGAGGTTTGTCAAAAAAATAATTTTTGGTCAAGAGTAAAGTACATTCGTTTTTGACACTCGTATACGACTCATAAAATTTGATATCTGATGGTTGTATTTTTGTTTTTAGATTAAGAAGAATAATTTTTTTTGATAAAGCTATCAATAAAACAGTTTTCCATAATATGAAGCCAACTTACGTTTTGACACATTATAAGATAAAACAAGTGGTAACGGGAATATCAATAATTTAATAAGCTCATCAATTAATTTCTCTAAGTCCGGAGGACATTTTACAATATCTTGAGTGCATTAATTTGTGTGATTATCTATGGTTACATGACAATTGCGCACTGTCAAATACGCTCTGATAAAAGTGCCCCGACAAATGTGCACTGTTAAAAGCCCCGCGACAAATGCGCCCCGACAAATGCGCTTCCAGATAAATGCGCCTTCCGACAAATGTGCTTCCTGACATATGCGCCCCAACAATTTTTGTTATTTTTATTCTTTTTTTTTTAACTGATTACGGGCAGATTTTTTTTTAGTTTTTCAATTACTTGTTTTTCCTCTTGTGGTTTCGGGAACGGATTACATTATTTCGTAAGGGAATGTTAATTTGATTTGAAACATGTCCTAAATATGACTCATTTTTATTTCAATTTACTAAATTTCTTCTCTACAGGGTGGCCTATAAATGAGGGATGAACTGAACTTTACTATTTTGAACTAAACACCCTGTAGATAGTTACAGGTAACAGATTTGGTTTTTTCACATCGTTAAACAATTTTTGCATTTTTATTCAGTTGCTATGATGTATACAGGATGTATAAATGAGAGATTACGATATTTTCAATTTTTTCAAATGTGTATAATGTTATACCAAAACAATTTACAAATTAATTTCTTAATTTTTTATTTTGTTTGGAATTTCCAGTACCCAAACGTATTTTGATGGTTTTATCATAAAAATTTACATTTTTTTCAATTGGCTTTCGAAAATATAAAATGTTAACCCATTTGACAGAAATAATTTATTATTCCTTCGACGTCACAAGTAAAATAAACCAAAAATATGTTTTGGTATAAGAAATGCATAACAAAATAAAAAGTACTCACAAAGAAATTCTCTCGTTTTGACATACCCTAAATACAACATAGTTAATGAAATAAAATGCAAAACACTTTTAGGAGCGTTAAATCTAATAAAATTGTTTGACTTTGTTATGTGTAACTACCTACGTGTTTGCTTTAAAAAAGTATTTGGTCAGCCCCTCATTTATGGACTACCCTGTATATTTAAGAGTAATTATAAAATATGGTCATGCAACTTTTGTATCTCCAATAATAAAATTGCCACGATCAATTACGCACTGATGGGACACCTTGTATATGTATAATAGGCCAACATGTTGTGTTGGTTTCGTTAAATGGCTAAATTTATAATGAATTTTATACCAAAATAATATACAGGGTATTGCGTTTGAAAAAATTGAGTAGATTGAACTTAAAATTAGCCATGTCTTAAAATGTTTCAAAACACTCTGTATAAAATGAACCAGTTTTATTATTACTATTCGTATCTTAGTATCTTATATGTATGCATTTTAAACAATTTTGAAATCATTGTAACCTACCTAAATTATGATAATTTTATTTGGGGTTTGCCTCATTCCCTAATTTCCCAAAAAAATTAATTGCTTGGCAACCATGTATTATTTTTTTTTTAAATTCTTGCCTTGAATACATTTCGTGACCAATCTAAAACTGAAATAAACTACAGGGTGTTCCAATTAAAAAGTTACATTTTTTATTTGTCAGACAAAAGCGTAACACCCTGTATATCCAAGAATATTTATAAAATATACCTTTTTCAGATCCATAAAACTTTTATTTGAAACTTGTTTGCATCTCTATAACACAAATTGAAAACCTCTGCTTTGACCATTTAAAATTGGATTCATTTTGACGGACGCATATGTTGGGGAGTGCATTTGTCGTGGGCGATTATCTCAGAAAGCGTTTTTGTAAGGGCGCATTTGAAGGGTCACCGATTATCTATAGTCCAGATATTAGAAGTTATGTTCAATAAATTATACGAATTAATAAAATATGACAACTCAATAAAAATTTACAGTAACATTACAGAGCAATGACATCATAATGATCTAGATCTTTTAGGTAATCAACTAAAATTATAGAAATTGATTACATTTTAAGTTATATAATTAAGACGACTTTTGCCAAAGAGACATTAAAATTTAACGAAATATATTTTATGGGGTTTCTTTACTTGGGTTTTGCTCCACCAGGTTGTCTATACTTTTGATTATATCTAAGTCTACAAAGTTTTTGTGATTGATTCATTGGATAGTTTTATATCAAAAAATTTAAAAATAATGTATACCTATTGTTTGTATTTTTTGTTTATTAAGTAATTTCTTGCTGCTATATAAGCACAATCTAATTAATTGTGAAACGCACAAAAGTTTGTGATACACACGTTTGTAAGATTTTTAACTTTAAATTTTAAAAATATATATTTCATTTCGTAGCTTCTTATTTTTAAACAAACCTAATTTTATAAAATCCATCGATATATTTCGTTCGTACTCATTTATATATCGCCTGCTAGCTATGAAACATTTCCTTGACTGAGTCACTCATCCAAGTACTAACCGCGGTTGATAGGGTGGCACTGTAGACATTGTAACGACCCTTTTTTATGGGTCGTAAAAATAGTATTATTTATCACCTATGAAAAAAAAAAATCAAAGGAAACAAAAGCTATTTATGAAACCAGTTACAAAATGCCTTATTTTATGTAACGAGTTATTATTTGCGAGACGAAGATGTAGTGTTTACGAATGTCGGGTCAGTAGTCACAACTGACTGCTGACAGATGACTCATGAGCACGTCACGTACCAGTACTAGTTTTGTAACAAAAGAATAAAAAAACAATACCAATGGTGTATTTATTTAACAACACATTAAACTTGATATTGGCGACGAGTATTCGAAGAACCTAAAACAATAAACAAAAATTTTGTGAGAAAAAAAACGAAAAAAAACTTTGTGGTCAGGTAACATAAAGATGTCCATTTTACAACAACAACAACAACAACAACAACAACAACAACAACAACAACAACAACAACAACAACAACAACAACAACAACAACAACAACAACAACAACAACAACAACAACAACAACAACAACAACAACAACAACAACAACAACAACAACAACAACAACAACAACAACAACAACAACAACAACAACAACAACAACAACAACAACAACAACAACAACAACAACAACAACAACAACAACAACAACAACAACAACAACAACAACAACAACAACAACAACAACAACAACAACAACAACAACAACAACAACAACAACAACAACAACAACAACAACAACAACAACAACAACAACAACAACAACAACAACAACAACAACAACAACAACAACAACAACAACAACAACAACAACAACAACAACAACAACAACAACAACAACAACAACAACAACAACAACAACAACAACAACAACAACAACAACAACAACAACAACAACAACAACAACAACAACAACAACAACAACAACAACAACAACAACAACAACAACAACAACAACAACAACAACAACAACAACAACAACAACAACAACAACAACAACAACAACAACAACAACAACAACAACAACAACAACAACAACAACAACAACAACAACAACAACAACAACAACAACAACAACAACAACAACAACAACAACAACAACAACAACAACAACAACAACAACAACAACAACAACAACAACAACAACAACAACAACAACAACAACAACAACAACAACAACAACAACAACAACAACAACAACAACAACAACAACAACAACAACAACAACAACAACAACAACAACAACAACAACAACAACAACAACAACAACAACAACAACAACAACAACAACAACAACAACAACAACAACAACAACAACAACAACAACAACAACAACAACAACAACAACAACAACAACAACAACAACAACAACAACAACAACAACAACAACAACAACAACAACAACAACAACAACAACAACAACAACAACAACAACAACAACAACAACAACAACAACAACAACAACAACAACAACAACAACAACAACAACAACAACAACAACAACAACAACAACAACAACAACAACAACAACAACAACAACAACAACAACAACAACAACAACAACAACAACAACAACAACAACAACAACAACAACAACAACAACAACAACAACAACAACAACAACAACAACAACAACAACAACAACAACAACAACAACAACAACAACAACAACAACAACAACAACAACAACAACAACAACAACAACAACAACAACAACAACAACAACAACAACAACAACAACAACAACAACAACAACAACAACAACAACAACAACAACAACAACAACAACAACAACAACAACATAATTTAGTTATACATGTTACAAACATATGCATATTTTAAGTTGTAAGGACCCGTAGCCTCTTATTTTATTTCATTATATCTATGAGTTTTC